CCCCGAGAAGTCCCCAAGAGGCCCCCAGGAAGCGTCCAAAAGGCTCCCAGTACGGGGGGTGGGGGCCTCCCTCCCCTCCTCGAGGGTGGCTCCCCAAACCTGGACTTCAAAAGCACGCATTCCTCCTCGGGGCGATGGGGGGCCTCCTCCCTCCTCGAGGGGGGGCGGCTCCATCCCTCCTCGAGGGGGCGGGGCCCCTCCTCTCTCCTCGAGGAGGGGGCGGGGGCCTCCCTCCCCCCCTCGACGAGGGGTGTGGGGGGGGCCTCCCCCCCTCCTCGAGGAGGGAGGGGAGCCCTCCCTCCTCGAGGGGGGGCCTCCCCAAACCTGGGCCGAGGGGGGGGCCTCCCCAAACCTGGGCTTCAGGCACGTGCCCCCCTTGTGGGCACGCGTCCTCCGCGTCCTTCCCCGCTTCTGCCGGCCTCTCCGCCCGCTGCCGGCCCCCCCCCCTCCGCCCGCGGAGGGCAGGCCTCTCGCGCTGCGCTCACGGGGTCCTCCGCGAGCGCTCTCCGCGGAAAAAGATGCAGAGATAGGGGGCCACATGCGAACCCTACCCCTACCCCCCACGATTTCTGAGGGGGAGGGTGGGGTTCACTCCGTTCGGGAGCTCCCGAGCGAAGTGAACCCCACCCTCCCCCTCAGAAATCGTGGGGGGTAGGGGTAGGGTTCGCATGTAGCCCCCTAAGAGAGCCCGTGTGGCAAAGACGCGCGATGCCCATCGGTCGGAAACGAATGTAAAAGCATGGAGTAGGAAGGCGTCGGAAGTAGATCGAGTCTCCGCCCGCCCCTTTGTTGAAGAGGAGGGAAGGAGGGGAAGCCACTCGATCATTGAAGTCGGAGGGCGCTTCAGGTAGAACGGAGCCTGGGATTCAACAAATACCGACTTTCAACGACCGATGGACAAGTATGCAAGGGCCTTGGAAAGCCATTCCGGAGCTTTCCGAGCGGGGCGCAGCCAACCGAAAGTGGCCAAGGATGCAGCCAACCAGTGTCATAAGGATACGCGACAAGGATGCAAGGGCCTTGGAGGCCCACGCGAACGTTTGTCGAACGAGGCTGGCCAGCGAAAGTCGAGAAGGATGGGCCGAAAGGGCCTTGGAAGGCCATTTCGGAGTTTTCCGAGAGGGGCGCGGCCAACGAAAGTGGCCAAGAATGGGCCACGCAAGGACACGAAAGATTCCTTAAGAGAACTGCCCATCCGTGCCACGCGGGTGGACTGCAAGCCGACCCGTCGCGCTCTCGCAGGCGACCCTGCTTCTTGAGCGCCCTATGCTCGGCGGCGCGCAGACGGGGGTAGGGGGTTGGAGGGGAAATGTGGGACTATTTGGGGGCTTTCTCTCTCTCTCTCTCTCTGCTTCTCCATTTCTCTCTCTCTCTCTGTCTCTCTTGTTTTTTTTTTTTTGTTCTCTCTCTCTCTCTCTCTGAACGTTTCTCTCTCTCGCTCTGTCTCTCTGGATGAACCCATCTCAAATATAATCCGACGAAAGATGGGTCCACCTCTGACGGATTCCGATTAACGATGAAGCCATCCGAAATGAAAACTTATAAAAGGATGGGGGCACCTCTAAGATAATCCTACCTAAACGACCACCCTTCGGGTGATAAGGAGGCTGTGGGTGGGGGGGGGGGGGGAAAGGGGGGGCCCAACATCTGACTCAATCGATCTCACGGGACACCACGGGACACCACGGGACACCACGGGACACCGCTAGGGCCACCGCTGGACGGACGGAGGATAATCATTTGTCTTAATTTCGCTCTAGCAACGGCAGACACCACGGGACACCAAAGGACACCACGGGACACCGCTAGGGCCACCGCCGTACGGACGGAGGATAATCTTTGTCAGAGGTTCGCGGTTTCCCGTGCCAGTTCCACTGGGGTGGATGACAATTGACACCCCTCACGCAGATCGGCGGGGTCAGGGTCCAAAAACACAAAGGATTTGCCACATGTCGGACATTCGGTGGCACCCCTCATACAGATCGGCGGGGTCAGGGTCCACAAACACATGAGATTTGCCACATTTCTGACATTCGGTGGCACCCCTCACGCAGATCCGTACGGTCAGGGTGCAAAAACACAAAGAGTTTGCCACATGTCTGACATTCGGTTGCACCCCTCACGCAGATCGGCGGGGTCAGGGTCCAAAACACACAAAGGATTTGCCACATTTCTGAAATTCGGTGGCGCCCCTCATACAGATCGGCGGGGTCAGGGTCCACAAAGATATGGGATTTGCAAAATTTCTGAAATTCGGTGGCGCCCTTCATGCAGATCGGCGGGGTCAGGGTCCGAATACCCAGGGGATTCTTCATATTTCTGACATCCGGTGGCACCCCTCACGCGGATCGACAGGATCAGGGTCCAACAACACAAGGGATTCGCCACATTTCTGACATCCGGTGGCACCCCTCACGCAGATCCGTAAGGTCAGAATCCAAAAACACAAGGGATTGGCCACACTTCTGAAATCCGGCGGCACCCCTCACGCAGATCCGTAGGGTCAGGGTCGACAAAAACAAACAGGCCCCGACACTGCTTCACGGCGGCGCCCAGACCTCATGATTTAGCTCTTGCATCCCCAATGATCCGAGACAGGGGGCCAGCGGCATGGGGCGAAGCCCTTACGGATATACCCCCACTGGAGATGTTGCACCTTCGGATACAATCCCTTTAAGGGTTGCGCAACCTCTAACAGTGTCCTAAGGATTCGGTATGACGCCACCTCGAATGAAATCCAATCAGGAATAGAGTCAATTGTCTGAGAATCCGATAAAGAACGGCTTCGCGTCAAACAGAGTCCTTGCCTGGTTGAGGCCTTATGCAGTATAAACAAGTCAGGGATGGGGACGCACGCCTCTGATATAATCCGAGTAGGGAAGCATATCTCTACGAAAGAACAGGTAGAGGTGGACCCACCTCTAAAATAATCCCAATAATGATAAAGCAACTCTTAAATACAAGCTGTCAACGAAGTGTTCACATGCGTCAGAATCAAAGTAGCGGTGGGTCCATCTCTAAGGGAAGCGGTTAAAAATGGAACCACATGTAAACTGAACGTCAAATAAAAATGTGCCCACCTCAACTAAAACCCCATTAGAGGTGGACCCACCTCCAATAGAAACCGAGCAAGGATGAAACCAATTGGAATCCAATCCGATTAGAAGAGGACCCACCTTCATATGGACCCGATTGAACATGAAACCGCCAATCACAGAAGCAAAGACCCATGGAGGCACGTGCAACTAGCCACTGCGATGCCGCGCTAAGCCCTGCTGGTCCCTGCTTAGCCCGGCTAGGGTTCGCCGAGCCCTTGAAGACACTACTAAGCACTGCGGCATTCTGCTAAGCCCTGTAGATTATGATAACCACCTGCCACACCCAAGGAAGCCTTGATAAGCCCTACCATGACCTGCTGGCCACTGATATGCCCCGCTGAGACCTGCCTATATATGCTCATGCCCACTAGCTTTGCAAAGTTGTGTCAGGACTTCGGTAACATTTTAAGCTAAGCGATGCCTGCTAGGCCATGCGGGGCCACATGTAATATCATATTTTCAGAGGTGAACACATCGCTAATGTAATCGAATCAGAGGTGGACATGGTTCTAACCACACATCATTGATGATGAAACAGTATGTAATACACATCCCGGCAAGGAAGGATTCAGCTCTGATAGGACCCCATGAGAGGTGAATCCATCTCTACTGGGATTGTGTGATGGACGAGGTCACGGGTCATTGGCACGCATGCGATGTAAGTTCGTCCACCTCCAATAGAATTCCATGACAGATAGAAGCACCTGGGGCATTATCGTGTTAGATATGGACAGGCTTCTATTTGGATCCCATGGGGAATCGAACCACCTCTAATATAATCGTTCATAAGCCCTGCTAGGCCCCTGCGAATCGCTGCTACGCCTTGCCCCGCTGAGCATTGCTAGCCACTGCGATGCCGTTTTAAGCCCTGCTGGCCCCTGCTTAGCCCTGCTCGGCCCGGCCAAACCCTGCCAAGCACTGTCAAGAGCGGCTAAGCCCTGCTGGCCCTCTGCTAGCCCTTGATAAGTTCTGCTCGCCACCTGCCAAGCCCAGCGGAGCCTTCCTAAGCCCTATCAAGCCCTGCAAGGCCTGCTAGCCCCTGAGATGCCTTGCTGAGACTTGCCAATATTTGCTGACACCTGCTGGCCTTGCTAAGCTCTGCCAGCACCTCGGCAGCCGACTAAGCCATGCGATGCCTGCTACGCCATGCGAAGCCAACTCCGGTATAACCTGAGCAGGGGAGGGTCCATTGCTGACGGGATCCAGTTAGAGGTGGACCCACCTCTCACATAACCCGACGAAGGATGAAACAATCTGTAATACATACCCACTCAAAAAATAATCCATTTTCAATGGAACCCCATGGGAGAACGACAGACCGTTACCAGGATCTTGTTCTCGGAGGGGTCACGGGCCATTGCGTTGCGTTCAAAGTGCGTTCACCCATGAGAAGTGGATCACCTCCAATAGGACTCTATGACGGATGGAAGCACCTGGAGTAGAATCTTGCCCATACGACCGGCGCCAGACTGGATGAGCCTGGCGAGCTTTCGGCCTTCAAAGGGTTTAAAAGGCATTGTTCCCCCCCTCCCCCGAACTCCGTTGAGTTCCTCCTCCTCCTCCTCCTCCTCCTCCTCATCATCATCATCATCATCATCCTCCAGGCTCTAGCTGGCTCATCGAAAGCCCGCCAGGCCAGGCTCATCCAGTCTGGAGCTGGGGGGGAAGGGCCCCTCGGCAGCCCACAGGCAGCGGCGCGGAGGCCGGCGGCGTCGGCGGCGGCGCCGCCGCCGCCGCCGTCGTCGTCGTCGTCGCCGTCGTCGTCGCCGTCGCCGTCGTCGTCGTCGTCGCCGTCGTCGTCGTCGTCGCGGTCGCTGTCGTCGTCGCCGTCGTCGTCGTCGTCGTCGCCGTCGTCGTCGCCGTCGTCGTCGTCGTCGCCGTGGCCGTGCAGCGGCACCGCGCCTCTTCGGCATCGAGGGCGGCGCCGGCGCGCAGGCAGCACGCTGCGGGGCGCGGGCGGGCCCTCGCCGGGCGGGGCGGGGCAGGGAGCGGGGGCCAGGGAAGGGGGGGAGGGGAGACAGAGACATGGGACGCACATGGACATACTAATACTATATGTCCTCCTTGGAGGCGCGCGTCCGACCCGAACATATAGCATACCCATCTTGTAGTATATCGTTTCCCGAGCGGTGTGGCCAGAAAGCGCCCGCCACGACGCATATACTATAAGATTTCTCGGTGCGCGCGTCGCCCCTGGGGGGGCGACGCACATATAGTATAAGTATGTTGGGATGTTGCCGAAGACAGGCGGCAGGGGCGGGGAGGACGACGGACCGAGAGACGTAGCGAAAGAGAGACTGAGAGAGTGACAGAGGCAGGAGCACGAGGGAGGAACCGAGGGGGGGGGAATGAGGGCGCGGAGAAGGAAGGCTGGGGGAGTGCTGAAGGGAGGGCGGCGGACGGGACACACAAGGGAAGGGTAGAAGGTCGATAGACACGGCAAATCGCTTAAGTCAGGCTGCTGATCAGAACGTCGGACCGTGAACCATGAGAGCTAAGGCTCGTGTCAGCCAGAAAATTCGAACGCCACTAGACTATCTCTATATATATATGTATACTAGAACCATCGCGCGCGCTTCGCGCGCGCTCAGGTTCTAGCAGGCCCCAGGCCTTGACGAATTCACTGCTCCACTGAAGTAGTGGACCACAGTCCACGCATACCAATCTGCATTCCGAAAGGCCTTCGAGGAAAATGGTTGTGTAGGGGGGCGGAGGCCGTATGAATCGGGTTCCCAGAAGGCCTTCTGGGAGCATGGGTTTGGGGCGTCTTGGGGAGCCTGTGGGGCGTGCCGTCGTCGTCGTCGTCGTCGTCGTCGTCGTCGTCGTCGTCGTCGTCGTCGTCGTCGTCGTGTTGCTGCGACCCATTCCCGAACCTGACCTTGGGGGTGGCCTAACCTGGCGCAGCCCCGATTGGCAACAGACCCGACACGTCCCGTCCAAACTGAACGCCAGGTTCGCACTCGCCCAGCACGAAGGGACGGCAGCTGCGGTCGCCAGTTGTCTCGCGCCGAGTCCGTACATTTTACTACGGTGACGGGCTGATTTTTGCCTCTTGAAGGCCCTCTTGGGGCCCCCTTCGGCCATCTTGAAGCCATCGCGGGCCCTCCTGGGCCTCGCTGAGGCTGTCCTGGGGCCCTCTAGGGCGTCCTCGGAACCCGGAAGTCATGTCCCCGGAGAGGCTTCAGGGAACATGATTTCGAACGGGGCCCTCTTGGGCCTCCCTGAGGCCGTCTGGTTGAGCCTCCTGGGCCGGCTTCGGGGCCTCTTGGGCCGTCTCGGGGGGTTCGGTGAGCCCCACAGGCCGACCCTTTTGGGTCGTTTTGGGGCTTCTTGGGGCCTCTTTGGGGTCTCTGATGGGGGCATTTTTAAACCTCTTGGGGCCTCCTCTTGGGGGCCTATTGGGGCGGAAATCTCCATTGTCGGTTCGTGTTCCCCCTCTTCAGCACCTCTTGGGGCCGTCTTGAAGCCCTCTTGGGCCGTCTTGGGCGCCTCTTGGACCGTTTGGGCACCCTCTTGGGCTGTCTTGGGGGCCTCTCGGGGGCCTTTTGGGCCGTCTTGGGGCGATGTTCGAGGCTTCCTCGGCAATCGTGGAAGGTCAGAAGCCCGAAAACGCGGGCAAGCAAAAAACATTGAAACACACAATGAAAATCTGTGATTTTAGCCTCTTGGGGCTCTCTTGGAAAGCCTCTCGGAGCGCCCCTGGAGCTTATTGGGGGCCCCTTGGGCCTTGATGGCGCTCTTGGGCCGTCTTGGCGGCTTCTTGCCGTCCCCGGAAGCCGTGGTGGACACCTCCGGGGGCGCAAAACAGCCTCCGGACGCCCGGGGGCAAAGTGGGTTAGAGCCTGTTTTTTGGATTCAGGTAAATTTACTTGCATGGCGTTCGCCCCCCCCCCCCCCCTCGCCCCTCTTCAAGCGAATACTAGCGTGCAAGTGCCTTTCGACTTGCGTGCTTTCCGCGCTCCCCCCCCCGGGCTTGCTTCAGGCTCAGCCCCCCTCCCCCCCCCCCCGTCCATGCAAGTAAACTTGCCAGAGTCTAAAAAAACAGGCTCTTACGGGGGGGGGGGGGGGGAATTCGGGAGGGTGTCCCGGCCCGGGGCCCTGGCCCCCGGTACCCCGGTATATGATATATACATATCCGCCGATGAGCTTCAAAGAGCATAAGCTACAGCCTACGGCCTGAGATTCAGCTCTGCTGGGGGCGTTTCCGGGGTGGCTCTGCCGGGAAAGGGGGGGGGTGCTCCGCCGACGCGTAAAACTCCGCCAAGATCCCACCCCGGCGGCCATCGAGCCCAAGATGGTCGCCAGATCTTCCCCAGACGACTCAAGATGCACCCAAGATGGTCCAGGATGCCCTCAAGGTAGGTAGCCCAGGCGCGCCCCAAGAGGCCTCCAAGAAAGCCCCAGGGGCCTCAATGAGGTCCTCCAGAAAGGCCAGAAGAGGCCCTCATCGTTGAATTTTTACATGTAGGATTAAGTCGGGCCTGTCCCCCTACAGGGGGATTTGCCACGACAAAAAATACCCCAGAAATAATCCGACAATAGTCTGGGTATTTTGGGGGTATTTTGAAATTTTCGTGGAAAACCCCCTGCAGGGACACGCCCGACAGAAAGGTAGGATTTTGGCACTTCATTCTTCACCGCCTTCCGACGGCCCAGCACGGCCGTGGCGGCCCCCCAGATCGCCCAAGAAGCCTCCAAGCTCGCCCCAAGACGGCCCAAGAGGCTCCCAAGACGGTCCCGAGTGCGTCCCAGGACGGCCCCATAGGCCTCCAAGCGCCCAAGAAGCCTCCAAGCTCGCCCCAAGACGGCCCAAGAGGCTCCCAAGACGGCCCCAAGTGCGCCCCAGGACGGCCCCATAGGCCTCCAAGCGCCCAAGAAGCCTCCAAGCTCGCCCCATGACGGCCCAAGAGGCTCCCAAGACGGCCCCAAGTGCGCCCCAGGACGGCCCCATAGGCCTCCAGGCCGCCCTGCAGTGCCCCCCGGAGGGCTCCCAGACGGCGCAGCGAGGCGCACAAGACGGCCTCCGAGGGCGTCCGTCGGGCCAGGAGCGCCCCAAGACAGCCAGAAAGGCTTCCGAGAAGCCCCCAAGAGGCTCAAAGATCCCCTCGTGAGCCGCCTCCTACGGCGGCCCCGAGATGGCCGCATAGGCCTCCAAAAGAACCCGAGCACCACCGGGAACGCCCCGAGTCGGTGGCACTGGCCGGAGGTCACACACGTAAATGTATAGAGGAACAACAAGTCACATAAACAGAACAACTCGGAGGTCCGCGCGGATGTCTCGGATCGGCGCTGGACCCCCCTCCCTGGCGCGCGGAGCGCGCCAGGGGCGGCGCCGGTGGCGCCGCCAGGGGGCCCCAGCGCCGATCCGAGAAATCCGCGCGGACCTCCGAGTTTTTATGTCTATGCCACTTTTTGTTCCCCTAGATATAGCCAGAGGCATGCAGAAAGGGGACATGAACATATCGCAGAAGACATGCAGAATGCGACACAACCTGATCGTGTGCGGGACGCTCGGCATCGACACCCGTTCCGTGCGCAAGCCGCAGTGACAGTTCGTGCAGACTGACGCAGCGGATGCCGACAGCCATTGCTGGACTCATCCCGGCGGGCTCCAGCCCGAGTCGAACGGATCTAAACTCAACTTCTTGAGCAGGGACCGACCGTCCCGGCTATAGTCCTACCACGAAATGTTCTTAGAACCCTGAAGAGTTCCAAGAACAAACACAATGTGCTTAGAACATAAGCCCGATGTGTTAAAACAAGACCGACTCCGCCAGAAATGTTCTAAGAACATTTCGTGGAAACCACAAAAGGTTCTTAGAACATTGTTTGGTAGGGCTATAGGCGAGCCAGGACGCTTCGCCACTGCTTGAACTTCAGCCGAGAGATGGAATAATGCGTCAAAACGCCGGTGTCACATCACATGGAACCTCTCAGAGCATCTCACCGCCCCGGGGTAGTTGGCCAAAGTGCGTCCGCACGAGGGCCATCCAAATCCGAGAGGGCCCCAAAAAATCTCACCAAGATTGGTCCCAATATTGATGGCATCCAGGCAACCTATGGCAATCACCCAGAAAACTATTGTGACCGGCGTGAGAAATCCGCGCTCGGTACTTATTCTCCGCGTCGCGAGCGTCCAAGCCTGGTGAGGAAGCAACGCGGTGCGGGCCACGGGGCACCAACCGTCAGGCACCACAAGGCAAGCGAGCACGCCAGATCGTCACCGGCGTACTTTTCCTGTTCCTCCTAGCGAGACATGCCCGACTCAACGCTAACTTCGGCGGTGGACAAACCTCCCTTCAGTAAACCACCCTTTAGTGAAACCGGCCTAGGCCCGAAACCGACGGACCTGGACCCGCAACAATGTCGGCCGCGACGCCCCCAAGCGAACCGAAAACGGCCAATCCGCCAATCGACGTGTCAAGGTAGGATGTCGATCAACCTCCGACAACGTGGACGCTCGAATTATCCGGGATAACTCTGGTCCGGGGCAACTCTGACGAACCAACAACACACACCCATACCCATAGGGGGGTCGGAAAGGGCTATGGGTGCGTGTTGTCGGATGGGGGTCCCCGCTGGAACGGGAGCGTTCCCTAGGGTCCGACAACCCGCACCCATACCCATAGCCAGTCCACGACCCCCTTCTGGGCATGGGTGTGTGTGTGTGTTGTTCGTTCGTCAAACTCCGGCTTCGGCCCCGACGCGCGGACCAGGAGTTGCGCCGGACCACCCCCTTCCTCAGAACGGCGGCGGCGGGCGTCGCGTTCTGCCAATGGGCTCGCTCCTGGGGCCTGAGATTCCTGGTTTCGTGGGTCCCTGGTCTCTGGGGGGTGGTTTCCGCGGGATTCCTGGGCTCGGTTCCGGGGCGTCGGGCCATCTGGGCTTGAGGGCTTGCTGGGGTCGGGCCGTC